TTTTTTTTTTTTTTTTTTTTTTTTTTTTTTTTTTGTCTTTTGTCTTTTTCCGTGTCCGGCAATGGATCGCAATCCTCAGTGTTGCCCCCGTGCCGGACCGGCAACGGGATTGCAACCCTCGGTGTTGCTCCCGCGCCTTGCTCAGCCAGTGAGTGGGAACCGGTCTATACGTGGGATCCGAACCCTCGGGCGGGAGCGCTGCCGCGCTTCCCAAGCGGCGCACTATCCAGTGCGCCACCTGGCCGGCCCGAGAATGAACATTTTTTAAGAGATAAAGAAAATGAACACTTATTTTGAGTGCCACCTATGTGCACATAGTTAGCACCATAAGAACTAGCGGAGTGTCTAGCTCTTGTAGACTCAATACAGCTTACTGAATAAAGTAGGGTACTTTGCAAATGATTTCTCACTTAATTCTCACAAAAACACTGAGGTATTATTATTATTCCTATTTTGCTGATGAAAATTGAAGTTTTGGGAGGTTACAAAATTCACACACTGTCATGCAGTCAGTTAGAAAGAATTTCAAGATTTAAATCCAGGTGTGTCATTCCAAAGCTCATCTTTTCCATTTACATAAACTTCTCTTTTAAGCTCAAAATTCCCAGTATTTACAGAAGTGTTTTATATCCATAATCTAGGTTGCTGAAACTGCAGTTATTCACATCTTTTGGGCCACTATATGCAGCTTTCACACATCTCTAAATATTAATTATAAGTGCTTTCTCTTTCAGTTCTCCTTATTACACAGTAGCCAAAATAAATAAAATATGCTTACTACTGCAGCTCTCCCATGGGGCTTCCCCCCACATTTGCCTGTCTCGCCCAAGCGTTCAAAATAGGCACGTGCACATCTATGAACACACTCTTCCACTCACGCTCCCTCCCCGCTTCCTCTTAGGATGGAACCTTGCAGCTTTCAGCTGGATGGGCTCATCTGGCCTCCCCAGCCTTCTCAGACATTACAAAGCTGCACCTCCCCCAAGACATCCCTGACACTCCCAGGGCACTCCCACCACCTCCCTTTCAGGACAGATCCCTTAGGGGCCTCTTTAGCCTCCTAAGCAATCCACATGGCAGGCATTCCTTAGAAAGTTCCATCTTGGCCATTTGGCTTTGGGCCAAAAAAATACCAGGGCTGAGGTCTCTGGTATTTGAGAGAGAATCAAGTAGACTTAATTGATTATCTGTGTCTTCATCTGCATATCAGTTGAGAGGTCAAGGAAGCAGGGACCCTAGACCATAGTGTCTTTGCACTTCAGAGAGAAATGTCTTTCACCAAGTCACATTGCAGCACCGTGGCTCTGGGGTTAGTGGTGAGGGAATATAGGAAACGGCTATGGGAGAACTGTGTTCCTTCTTCCATTTTGATACTGAGTACTTTTTATATATCCAGGTAATAAATCTCTTTTAGAATTTCTGCTCAGGAATAAATTTATCTCCATTCAAGGATAGCTACGTTTTACTTGTTAGAAAAAGTTACTTCACTCATTCTATGTCACTTTTTGCCATAGCTGCTAGAAAGCTCAAAAGTTAAATTTAGTGCTCAATTACATTGATGATTTCTTTTTCAGTTTCTGAAAAAGAAAATTATCTTCCCTTTTTTCCTCTATGATTTCTGAGCTCTGGAGTCACTGGAAATTTAGAGAAGGGTCCATGATATCTTATTTCCTTGAATACCATTGTTTTAGGAAGTTCTAATAGATATCTGGTGGGGGTTTTAGAAGTTATATCCAGCTATATCACACCCTTTCTCTTCTATGGGTTCCTACTAATTGAGAAGGATATCAGAACCAGTTATTTACCTTATCAATATGGAAAAAGCCCTGGGGTTCCTAATAAATGTTGATATGGGAATGCATCTTATATACAAAGTCAAATTCCATCACCCCCATCACAAATTATCCACAAATGCTCTCCAGGACTCACTTGTGGATCAGCCACAGAGGATCATGTCCTGATTCACTTCCCATCGATTCCCAGAGAGAGGAAGCCAGAGCAAGACGGCCTCCTGCTCTGGCTTGGGAAGAGAGCCCTAAGCCATTGCCCAGTCGGCTTCCCCGGTAGACCAATAGTAGAGGTGCTGTTGAAGCCAGGCCAGGCCAGGCCAGGCCAGGAGAGAGAGAAAAACTGTGTGTGACTAGTGATCTTTACCCAGGACCACTTCAGGCCATAGTGCAGGTTGCATACACAAGGTGTTCAGCCAAGGGGGCTTATGACTGGGCTGAAATCCTGTTCACTCTGCATCTTTTTATGATTCATTCTCTCAGATGGGATACCTCTCAAATTCACTCAAAGGCTACATATGAGCTACAGGGACCCTTTTACCCCAATCTCATATATGCCATTCCTCTGATGAGGAAGGGTGAGGGGAGGGGGTCGGGGGGATGCTGGGAGCATGGAGGAGTTGACTAAAAGTGTTCTTCCAGTGCCTTTTTCTCTTGGGACATGGAGTACATGTGTCCCCTCCTCTCTGGGAATGTGTGAGGAGCTGAGGCAGTAAATATTGTCCACCTACAATTGTGTAATTCAACAGAGAAGGATAGGATGTAAGGAGAGAGAGTGGCATCCAAAAGGAGAAAAGGAGCATTGAATTGTCACCAGTTTGCAGATTCAACAAATATGAACTTAGTGCCTACTATGTGCCAGGCGTAGTGCTAGGCATTGGCGATGCTGAGGTAAGAAAAAGTCTGTCGGAACCTCTAGGTTCTGGTTTCCATTCTCTGTGTTCCCTTAGGCAAATTACTTTCTCACCTGTGAAATGAAGTTCTCTAACATCAGCGTTGTTTACCTTCTCTCTAGTTCCAGCATTCTTACCGTATGTTTAGGTCTCCAGGGAGCTTTATGAGGATGTTTCTTCACTGTTACTGGTTTGGGAAGATGCATCCCCAGAGTTCCTCTCTGGTCTCTCACTCAAACTTTCCATTTTCCTGTGTTTTAAAATCAAAGCCACAGTTCACATCTGGTTGCCCAATTAGTTGCCAAGAAAAACTGAATTTAGGAATCCCCTCATCAACAGACGTAAATGAGTAATTCAGCATACCTGGAGCGTAGGTTGCTCAGTAAGGAAGGGCAGGAGCAGACAGACACTGGAGAGAGCAGGGGTGAGCCCAGCAAGAAGCTCATGAGACAATGAAGCCATTTCTTCTCTGACCTGTGGCAACAGGGAGAAGTTTAACAAGGAGTAACATGATCAGATTTGCATTTGAGAACAATCATTGGCTCCATTGTAGGAGCACAAATAGAAATGGGGAGATTTGCTCAGGGAGGCTCTATCAGCAATCAGAAAGGACATAATGGTGGCCTGAATTAAGGAAATGAATGACAGTGAGGATGAAGAAAAGGAGATGGATTAAAAAAGGATTTGGGAGATCAAATGTATAGAACTTGGAGAGAGTGATTAATTATGCAAAAGGAGGGAGAAGGCAGGGAAGAGGGCTCCCAGGTTTCTGGTTTAGGTGTCCGTGCCCTGCAATAGGCCAATCCCTGTTGGGGCTGAATCTGGAGAGGATGAACGATAGCGACCTAAGCAGAACACTCAGATCCTCTGTTTTGATGAATACTGCATGCCCACACCTGATTGAGCTCAGGACCATACATACCGTAGAATCTGAGTAAATACATGTTATGTGAATTAATTTTATAATGTGGAAATCAAAAGTGAAGTATGGTATTGATGCTCACAAACTTCAGGCTGGGCTTGAAGATGCCAGCAGCAATTGCCCTGTAGTAATGTCCTGAGAGAACACTTTGATGAGTGAGAGATGTGAAGGTGGGACTGTCAGCAAGCCCTGCTGGCATCCAAGGCCAGCATCCTGTTCAGTTCTAGAATCTCTCAGAGATTGATATACTCCATATAAGCATATGGTTCTGATTGACTTTAATGGGATTCCCTTGCAAACCACAGATTCTAAATTATCCCCCAGTAGGTACAACTTTTATAAGAGACATATTATTTTACCCTGAATACCCCTTGGGCACTGTTACACTTAATTCTGAGAGTAGCAGTACGCAGAATAAGATCATCTTGTATTTGAATGTCACTGTTACGTGTTGATTTCTTGTAAGCCATGGAAAATAGCTATTTATAAGAAAAGAGCATTTTTTTAAAAAAGAAAAAGAAAGATATTTAATTCTGTGTGAAAAAATATCAAATATATACTCATGCTATAGTGTTTATTTTGTTTTGCTTTTGTTTAATCTAAGGGCAAAGCATTTTCTTTTGAAGAGGAAGGGATAGTTTTTCCCAGGTCTGGAGATTAAATGATTTAGTAAGCATTTCACGTTCAGCTCACAAAAAGGGGATTTGCATATGAACTTGTTTCAGTGAGAAAACACATCTGAACGTATTTCATGGGAACTGTCTCTATCCATGGCAGCTCCTTTTGACCTTCTCCTTCTTTTCTTTTCTTCATGCCTACAGGTCACTGGATTGAAACTGTCTCAGGACCTTGATGATCTTGCCATTCTCTACCTGGCCACAGTTCAAGCCATTGCTGTAAGACACTTTCATGCCATTTTTAAAGAGACTTAGGGCTATTAATATGCTCTGGGACACATGCTCCCCAAGATACATCATATGCTTTTGTGACAGAGATTCTTAATTAAAAGAGAGCTTGCCAAAAAGAGATGTTTGTCTGTCTGGAAGGAAATGTTGATAAAGGTCCTTACCTACTTTACTAATAACCTCACATAACCAAAAGCTGGAAGAAGCTAAAGTCTTTGAACATCACACTTGTCATTTATATAATTTGTCTTCTAAATTCAGTTAAATAAAAGCAAGCAAGCAGATGCCATGTATGCTTGCATTAAGAAAAGTTGGTGTTAAGAATGTCCAAATTTATACAACACATGATATTGTTCACTTTGCAAAAGGATTTAATATAGGGTTCCTTTAAATAGTAGGGTTCCTTTATATAGTAAGCTTCCTTAGTAGGAATGAAAGTGTAAATAAGAGGTTTGGATGGTTAGGAAGGGAGAGGAGAATTTAAATCTAAAATGTTAGGAACTCCTAGCCTAAAGATCAATCAAAAATGAAAAGACCCTAGAAGTTCAAACATTTTTGTCTAAAGAATTTTCTTATTTAGAGATGATCTGTGGGTAAGCTATAAGAGGGTTCTAAACCCTAAAATCACACACAAAAGGTTGGGTGTGTGCATATGTTAGAAAGTGCATATTGGGGGAGTGGGCCATGGCTTTTAGGGTGTCAGAACAGGTAGGTACCCCAAAATAACAGTTAATCCAGAGAGGCTTTTCTGCCTCTGAAAGGAGAATGGGAACCAACAGAAAGGAAAAATTAGTTTACTGAATTTTGATTCAATATCTATTTTCCAGTAACATTCCTATTTAAACAATGGTTTTTGTTTGCTAATGCCATATAGACATTATGATATCTAGTTATTCTGTTTTTCTACAAACTGTTTTCATAACTTTTTTGTTACTTTAAATAAAAGAACTATATACATATTTATTCATATCATCCACAGAAGTGCTGTTGTAAAGCTTGGATTCATCCAGGTGACATGTATGCAAATAGAGAACAGAACTTCCCAAATAGTAATAATACTAAAAGAATATAACGTATTTATTGCAAGTGAATAGGAGTATAGAATCAGCCAACTCAATTAAACGGTCCTTTTAGATTATAGACAAGTTTGACTGTATCATCCTGAAGCAACTTTCTTATTCATTTAGTAGCTTGACCAATTCAGTAAGATCAAATAGCTTTATGCATGGAAACTTGGTCAAAATAGAAAATTCTGACGTCTATCATAATAGTAAGATGAAAATGAAGAACAAAAATGAGCATGAGTAGTGAAAACAGTTATTTAGTGATCCTGTTTTATATTAATGATGATGATTATGATAATAGTAATAAATAATAGATTGGAGGTATTTATTATGCATCAGATATGGGGCTAAATACTTGACACACACTATCTGATATAACTCCGTGAGGTAGGTATCATAATTCCCATTCCACAGATTAGAAACTGAAGCCTTGGCCGGCCCGGTGGCGCACTGCTACAGTGCGCCGCTTGGGAGCGCGGCGGCGCTCCCGCCAAGGGTTCGGATCCCACATACAGACCAGCCGCTCACTGGCTGAGCGAGGTGCGGGAGCAACACCGAGGGTTGCGATCCCGTTGCCAGTCCCAGTCCGGTACGGGCGCGACACTGAGGGTTGCGATCCGTTGCCGGTCACGAAAAAAGACAAAAAGAGAAAAAAAAAAAAAAGAAACTGAAGCCTTGATGCAGTTAATTAACTTGCTCCAAGTCATATACCTAGTCCATGGCAAAGCTGGGATTTTAGCCCACAGGTTTTTAAAATAAAACTAGATATATGAAGTATTGAGGAACTTTTATTTTCTGATTTGTTCATGTTATTGTATTAAAAGTCTTACAGTGAAATGAATCGTTTGCATTGAAATGAATAATCCTGGAAAATCAGAGCTGTGTGATGCTCTCCCTTCTGAGCACATGCTAAGAGGGGGACATGAAGGACAAAGCCAGACAGGATGGGCCAGGGGGCACCATCACAGGTGGTAAGGACCATTACTTTTCATCAGACATCGACTCTGTGCCAGGCACCAGATAGAGTGCCTTACCTACCTGTAGTTTAGGATGGCAACTCTGTAAGTAGATGGGGTTGTCCTCATGTTACAGACAGAGGGAAGACCATTTGCTAGGTCAGACAGTTAGTGCATGGTAGTCTGACTGTGAGCCTCTGTCCGCCTCACTCCCAGGCTCCTGCTCTTTCCACTTAACCATGCTGCATTTTTCTTTGCTCTTTCTGTGAAAGCTACATGGATGAAATAAGCTTTCAGGCATTCCCAAGAACAGTTTTTAACACATATTAGAAAACATTAATTTGTCCTAGGATTGTCTCACAGAGGTCCCTTTTCTGCTAAGAACACTACAGCAGAAGGCCAGGAATGTATAAATGAGGTTAAATTTAATATGTGCAGAAGAGGTGGGGAAAAAAAGCCACCTTCATTTTCCCTAGTACCACACACTTGGAAAATCAATCTTGTATTTAATGGGCCATACATGTATTAAAAGGTATCATATTTATTCTGTCCATTGCCTAAATGACCTTTTTAAAACCACGTAGGGAAGGCATTTGAAGGCAGATTTTTCGATAAGGCTTTTATTGTGGAGTTGGTTGAATTGTGAGGGGTTCAGTCTGTTTTGCAAAAGTATCTGAGTGTGCTGATCTTTTAGGCAAAAATGTGCATTTTTAGTGAAGCATTCTGATGATATTTTTTCCCATAATGTTCAACTTGGAAAATTTTTTTGGTTTTTTATTAGTCCTGAATATTTGTCGTTGATAAGTTAAACAAATTCCTCTCTATAGTAATATCTGCAGTTGGTATTTTGTAGGAATGTAATGAAATTAAAGAAAGATTGTAATGAAGTTAACTTGGGACTATGCAAAACCCTCCAAGATGTAAAATTCTCTCTTGATCATGCTTAATTGAAAGACCTGTCAGCCACCCAGTTTATCCATAGCCTGTTCATCTATAGTTTTCTTTTCATAATGGACCCTTAAAAAGTACTATTTGCATTTGAAGTCTCTTGATTTGCATTTGGTTCTGTACATTCCCAGTGGAATAGCCTAATTTTAATTTAAATTTCTCTGTGAAAACATTTTTCCAGAAAGGTGAGCACAAAATCATTTTCGCACAAAGCTCTTTGGTAGGGCATTTCAGTAGGGTGGAGCATTACCCAGAGTGGAGTCTGAGACACCAAAAGGGAATGCCCTGTAATGAAATGCCAGCCTGAATGGAAAATTCCAGCCAACAATGCCACACAGCGGAGAGACAGGCTGTCACAGCCCCTGTCAAGGGAATGCCCCTTGTTCAGATCCTTTCCTTTTCCCAGGAAATGTGCTTTGTATTACCCTCCTCTCAGACCTGCTAATCACGTGGCTCCAGGTCCCTGTTTTTAAAATATCAGAAATATCGGTTTTGCATGGCATTTCTACATAAATTGGGAGGCAGCTGTACTCCCTCCCATACCAATTGTGTTGCCTAAAGCAAACTCTGTAACTCCTAAATTGAGATAATAATATGCAGCTTCTGAGTTTGTCTTAAGATTAGAGATGGCGTTAAAGTGCATAGTAGAATACCTAGCATGTAGATATTAACCAAAATACCTCTCATTTGTAAACATCTTTCATGTGCTGAACACTCTCTAGAGTTTTTCATATGCTGCCTATAGCAACAAACTTGTAGGTATTGCTGCATTGCATTAGTTCTAAGACTGCAGTTTTAATTTTTTTGCATGTTAACATTTCTGACAATCCATAGAATTTTCAACTGAATGTATATGGTATTATTATTCCTATTCAAAAAAATGAGATATTAGGTTAGGTATAAAAAAAATAAGTGTAATGCCTGAATGCCATCTTGGGTTTTTTGAGTTCAGAATTCATGCATTTAGCTACTACAGATTCATGCCCCTGGAGCAGACTAAGGCTGCCTGGAATCCACCGGCATCAAATGATCCATGGTAGACTTAAAGGCATCTGGTGACCTCCTGAAATTATTTATAATACTGTTCTGTATGTCACTTTTTTTTGTAGGCAGGTCAGTAGGTTTTCTCATATTCTCAAGGGGGTTCATGACCCTCCAAAATACGTAAGAAAGAACATCTGGGGGTAATCAGCCATAGTCAGTAAGCAGGATCTGGCCTTACATGGGACAACATGTTTTAATTTTTTTAAACACACTACATCTGTGGATTATCTTTGGAGACCCAAGTTTCACCTAATCCATATTTTTACCAGATTCACAGATAGCTTCAACAAACCCTAGAGACCTCTCAGCTGGAACTGCTGTGCATTTTGCTCCTGAACTACCCTGTCCCTCATCATTAACTCCAAAGCAATTGAGTTTTCATGTCCTGTGGTCTTGAGATCACCCTCTGACCACTTTCCCCCCAAGAGGTACCCCAGTCCCAGGGAAGACAGCTCTCTAGACAGCCTTGCAGAGGAGGCTTAACTCACTTTACATCCCATCCCTCCAGGCCCGAGATCAGGGCAACATCCTGCTGATTTCCCAAACCCTATTCCTTACCTTGGACAACCTTCTGATCATTCTGGCCCTCAAGCTAAACTACCTCTTTTCCTTCTCTGTGCACATGGGTACCAACTTGCCGATTACACTGTCACTAGAAACTGTGATACTGGCTCATGTAATCTCTCCAACCCAAACCCCACCTTCTTGGTGGCTTCACCATCTGAAAGACGCTTTTACCTCCCAGATCCTTGCCTATCTCATTTCCCTTGACCTTTTCCTTCCTTTACTTTGACAATTCACTCCCATGTCCATACCTAGGACTTTGCCATCTCTCAGAATTGCTCAAGCTCTACACATTTTAAGGTCTCTCTGTCCACCAAAAAATCCTCTTCCTCATTTCTCTTTGTAGCCCCTTTCTCAAAATCACCATATGGATGCCTCCTTAAGACCACACCACAGTTCATTTTTTTGTCTTGAATCTTTACCACAAGTAAATTATGATTTCTGAACTTCTAGTTTTCTGAATGTCAAAATAAATTCTGATTCGAATATCCTAGTGAACACTGAAGTGTATGTTAAAATCCACCTCAACGACCCTAAGACATCGTCTTCTCAACCAATAACCTTTTTTGCCAAGTTAAGTAAACGTGGCGAGTCGGGGAGGAGGAGGATGCACTTTAGGAAGCTGTGAAGACACAAGGGCTGGCTTGAATTTGCGGCGAAGCCCTGAGCCAGGCAGAGTGTGTGATTTCTGCGTCATCTCGATTCATTGAGGGCTGACTAGGAATGCATTATGGCTCAGAAGCCTCATTATTAGAGAATCACTACTGAGTTTCAGGCTGAACATTTGTATCTCACCTTCTTTATGCAGTTAGAGCCCTCTTTCTATGTTTCTGCTGCTGGATTATTTGGTGCCTCTTCTAAGGAAAAAGTCTTTAGTTCTCATTTAGTGAAGGAAGACTGACCCAGGTGCCGCTGACTCTTCATCTCAGAGCCAGGTTGCTATCACTCCATTTCCAGTACCTAATAGAACACCCGGGCCACAATAGACACTCATCAAATACTTGTTTGAACTGTGTTAACATGGTCACCTGTTTTTGTCAGTATTCTATAACTACTGACAGAAGCAAATGGTGTAGTAACTAAGAGGGTTTGAGAGTCAGGCAAGCCCAGGTTGGAATTCCTGCTCTGCAGTTTAATTGACTGTGTGATCATAGGCAACATAATCTCTCTGAGTCTCAGTTTTCTGAGATACCATATGCTGAGCTCTTAGTGCAGTGTCTAACACTGGGTAAACGCTTAGCAAATGTTTCCTACCGTTTACTTTTGCTACCATACTAATGCTTCTGCTTTTCCCTTTCAGCTTGGCACCCGCTTCATTATAGAGGCTATGGAGGCAGCAGGGCACTCTATCAGCACTCTTTTCTTGTGTGGAGGCCTGAGCAAGAATCCCCTTTTTGTGCAAATGCATGCTGACGTTACTGGTAAGTCTGAGGAGGAGGAGAGAAGGTCATTTTCAGCTTGGGAGAAAATGGGCACGGCCATGTTCTGGGCAGGGTGAGAACAGGAGAACATAGGTGGTGTACCAAATGATTAAGATAACTGCGAAGTCTTTATATTCATGCTGGGGAAGGTGACTTCTGTTTACTGTATATCCAGCTATTAAATGATGGTGAGAGATGAATCAAAAGTGATCGGCAAGGTGCGCTCTGAGCGCGGTGTGGGCAACACCAGGCCTAGGGTTGCGATCCCCTTACTGGTCACAAAAAAAAAAAAAAAAAAAAAAAAAAAGTGATCGGCAAGGGCCAGATCATTTTTCTTTTTTTTAAATTTTAATTGACTTGTTGTAATTATACATATGTATGGGGTACAATCGATGTTTTCATACATATATACATTGTATAATAATCAGGTTAGGGTAGGTAAAGTATCAATCACCTCACACATTTATCATTTTTTTGTGGCAAAAACATACAAAAGCTCTCCTGTAGCTATTATGTAATACACAAAACTTGACTGTTAACCATTGTCACCTGCTGTGCAATAGAACATCAGAACTTATTCCTCCTATCTAATTGAATTTTTTCCCATTGGCAAGAGGTAGATCTTTAGTCAAGCATGTGTTGAACTCTGAGATCCTATGATTCCTTCTCAGCTCATCAGAATCAGGGGTCATGAGACAGATGGAGGGAATCCAGAGTAGTGGGCTGAGCCTTTGTGATGTGGGCAGACAGTGGCAGAACCGGATCTTTGGGAGAGAGCCCTTTGGGCCCCAAGGAAGAGGCCCCATTGGAGGAGTCTTGCTGGTGTTGCTGGTGGCCTGGACTTCTGTATCCCTGGATCTGGTGCCCTCACCCCTCTTGGCACTTTTTTCCCGTTGTTGCCTGGGGACTGGAGTTGCCTCCCAGGACCCATCCCTGGGTGGCTAGACACGAGGGCAGGGCAAGGGGGAGGATTGGACCTGCCCCCAGCCCCACCTCCAGCCTGATGTGAGCCCACCTTATCCTGGGCTCCACTCATCATGGCCCCATGTGTTCCTTGTCTCCTATATTCCCTACCTGTGACAGTTGGGTGGGTCAGAGTCTCTGCACCTCACTCTGTCTTGTTGTATCCACTTCCTATCTACACCATGAAGATTCCTGTAGATGAGAGCCTCATCTAATGTGATGGACATAGTTGATTTCTGTACTTTGTGAGACAAAACTAAATAAGTCACTTATCCCCATCTTAGAGACAAGTAGACGAAGGCACAAGTCCGAGGACACTATGGAAAAGCACAAAGTTTAAGAGAAGATCTATCAGGATGTGAAGTATAGAAATTACTGCCATTAACCAAGCACCTACTATGTGTAGGTATGAATCACTCTATGTACAGTTAATCCTCATGTACCACAAAAAGGTAGAAGTTGGTGCCCCCGTCTTACAGACAAGCAAACTGCAGATCAGGGAGGTGAATTAAATTGACTTTCCATAGTCAAGCAGCCAGTGAGGGGCAGGACCAGTATTGTAACCAGGCATGTCTGGGCCCACTGTCCCTTCCCCTCTGTTGCTGGCCCAGGGGTCTCGACTTGTCTGTCCAGTTTGTAACAATTTGATGATGACTTCTCTTTCCCAATGTGTCTAAAACCTATGGAAGTAGGCCATTCTGAAGCAGAGAGAGGAAAGACATAGAAATGAGCCGGATTACCTTATAATTTTTCCCAGGAGAAAAACATTTTGTCTAAAAATCAGCTGGCTAGTTCAGATAAGGTTCAGACGTATAACTTGATCTGTGACTTTTCAGTTTCCAGCCTTCTAATAGCCAAAAAGTCTTTCTACCTGGATGTAGGAGGAAAGATGAAAGTCAGCTTCTGGCAACATATTGCCTGAGAGAATGGGCAGCAGGGCCCCCCAGAGCAGGGCAGTGAGGAGTGACCCAGGCACTGACTCAGCACTGCCGCTCTGGCCTTTGTGAAAGTGGGTCACCTTCCAGGCCTCCATTCTCGAGCTGACTCAGAAGCAGGGGTGCAGCGGCTTCACAGAAAGTTCTCTTTGAAAACTGTTCTCCTCCAGGCTGTTGAATGAAAAGGCTGTTAATCGTTATTTGGATTCGGATTGAAACATGACCCTTTGTCTCTAACTATGGACCAGTTACAGTTCCAGACAAAGGGACCTTTTCTTTGGCCTGGAATTTCTCTGCCTTTGGAAGGCTGTGACTGACAAGTGATGGCAAAGTGCATCTGCCTTTAAATGCTTTGGGTTCTGCTAAACTCATTAATGCATCAGATAAAATAGTTCACATTCCAGGCAAGGCGCCCTCTTCCTCTCCTTCACCCAGCACTCAGAGAAAAGAACACATTTGCTTTTGTCCCTGTAAAAGGCATACACAAGCAGCTGGTGTCTAGGTGGTATCTTTGGTGATAACTTTAAATGTTGTAGTTACTCTAGTTTTCCTACAAAGAAAGACTTAGGGAGGACCATAGACTTGTACATAATTCTCAGCAATCCATGTGAAAAACACAGTGGAATTTGGAAGATTCTTTGGAGAATGTTTGGGATAATGGAAAGAGCAGGAGATGAGCTCTGTGACTTTGGGCAAGTTACTTTACTTCTCCGAGCCTTGGTTCCCTCTTCTAGAGGCCAGAAATGTCATCTCTGTCCGGTAGATCTCACTAAGGAATAAATGCCCAGAGTTTGTGAGCACCAAGCTCTGTGCCTGGCTCAAAGTAGGTGATCAGTAAATGTTAGTTTACTTCTTCCCTCCAGGCAGCTCCACACCAAGAAGGAGGAGGCGTGTTAGAGAAAAAGCAGTTTAATATTTTGTAAGCACATCTTTGCCATGTTGGGAACAGCCTACTCCATGCAAGCAGGGGAGAGTGGGACTTTGCCAGCTTGGGAAATGTCATCTGTGTGAGGAAGAAGAACCTCCTTGTACCCCAGCCATTTAGTTAACTGTGGTTTCAAGAAATTCTTGGTGTGTACTAAATAATTGTAGGTTTCCCCCACGGACTTGGGACTAAATGTTCCTTCTTCTAAACGTTGTTTTTTGGTACCGGCAGTTTCAGTAGGGGTTTCCCTTTTCTTGTCTTCTTCATTTTAATCATTTGTTCATTCGTTTCTTCACTCAAAAGCATTCTCTGAGCATTATGACAAGAGATTCATTATAAAACACACAAAAAGTGCTCTTGGTCCTAGGACCAATGTCCAAGAGAGTAGAGTGAGAGGGACCAGTGTCTTAGCAATGTAGAGAGTAGAGTGTCCTCTGACCCAGAGGACAGCGGGATCAATATCAGTCAGGTCCAGACAGAGAACAGGTACACATTCAGATTGAGTTCACTGGAGAAAAGTTGAATCAAGAGTCTGTTTACAGAGGTGTGTGCAGGGCGCAGGGAGACCCAGGCAACTAGGGAGTACCCTGGGGCTCCTAACAGAGTTCCTACCTCTAGGCTTGCAGGGGTGAGGGCATGGAAAGGCACCCAGCCAGAGACTGAGGGGCTCTGTGAAAAGGCAGCCTGGCAGGAGCTTAGTCAAGGGCAAGGGTCTGTGGATGTGGTCCACACAGGCCAGTCTGCCAGGGCCCAGAGCAAGTGGGGGAAGGGGGAAGAAGTGGGATTTGTCTGAGGAGCAAAATGGAAGCAGTGGGTTGGTTCCATTCATCCAGGGTAACAGCAGTGAGCAGAGGCTTCAGTGGTAAGATAAACTTCAAGAATCATAACAGCTAATGCTAATTTAGTGCTCTCTCTAAACCACGCACCATTTTAAGTACCTTACTTATAATAGCTCTTTTAATTCTCACAGCAAGCTGATGAGGCAGGTGGAATTTTAACCCCATTTTGCAGATGAGAAAACCAAGGCAAAGACAGATTAGGGAACTTGCCTAGGATCACACAGTTATCAAAGAAGCCAGAATTCAAATCCTGGCAGTCTGGCTCCACAACACTTTGTGCTGCAACTTGAGAGTTGATGGGGGATTCGCCACATTCATTCTGGTCTCTGGTTCCCAAAGGGAGGGGCCTGTGCGTATTTTCTCCCTATTTGGAACTAGGGAAGCTTTTGGCAGGGTAACGAAGGGCTGGGAAGTCAGTGGTGGTTGGAGGTGCTGTCATCTAAAAAGTCCCAGGTCCACGGGGAAGCCTCGATGGTCAGCCATACTCCCGTCTACACCATACCTGGGATCCTGCAAGGGCATGCAGTGCCCTCTCCTGATTGGGCCAGCATAGCCCTTCAGTGTGGCCTGGTATCTGTTCTTGCCCTCTGGATGGTTGATAGGAATGTTCCTTGTCCCTTCCCCACTGTTCCAGTCCCCAGCCCAGGTGAAGTGCATGTAGACAAGTGTCACTCACTATCAGTATTATTCAAACAATAGCAGCCACCATTTCTCCAGAGCTTATAGAGCTTACCATAAGCCAGCAAATGTTCTAAGCACCGGGCCGGCCCGGTGGCGCACTGCTACAGTGCACCACTTGGGAGCATGGCGGCGCTCCCATCGAGGGTTCGGATCCCACATACAGACCGGTTCCTGCTCACTGGCTGAGCAAGGTGCGGGCACAACACCGAGGGTTGCCATCCCGTTGCCGGTCCCAGTCCGGTACGGGCGCGACACTGAGGGTTGCGATCCATTGCCGGACACGAAAAAAAAAAAAAAGACAAAAAAAGGAAAAAAAAAAAAAAATGTTCTAAGCACCGCCCTCACAACACACCTGTGCAGTAAGTCCTGTCACCATCTCCATTTTACACATGGGAAACCAGGGTTAACAAGTTTAAGTGACTTGCTGAAGGACACGGAGACAGTAGAACCAGGAAACATAGCTAGGTCCAAGCTTTTCCCCCAACCCCCTCCCCACTTTTTTTTTTGTGGGCAAAGTCTCAAACCCTGGCCTTGAAGTGTGGGGGCTGGTATTCCTAAGTCCTCTGGGATGTGTGTGGGAATTCTGTTCCAACCCCCAGGGTGGTTGGAGCAGCCAACCCAGCCCTGGAGGAAGGAGAAGAGTTAGGAGGTGATGGGATGTAGAAGAAGTCTTCAAAGGCAAGCTAGGAAGAGAAATCCATTCTCTGGGAAAATAACTCTTGTGTCTCAAGTAGAAGGAGGAAGATTTTATGCCACAGAGCTTACCTCTGTGGAGTTGCTGCCATCTCCTGATTAGCAGGTCAATATACATAGTATAATCCTAAGAATCCTAAATTGTTTCTATTCACCTTATACCCTCCGTAAACTCTCAACCTCAAGCCTGTGGAGAGCTTCTGCCTGCCTGGTGGGCCCCTCCTCGCCCCTGTGTAGGCCCCATCTGCACTGTGATGACCACTACCCTGGCAAGTTGTTCTCTCCTCATTGAATGACTTATCATGTGCTAGGTGCTGGTCTCATTGCCAGGGATACAGCAGTGGACAAAACAAAGTCCCTGCCCTCCTGGAGCTTACTTAGTTCTAGCAGGGGAGACAGACACAAAACAGGATAAGTAGGTAAAACACAATGCTGGAAGGTGAGGAGGAAATAAGGGAGAGGATAAGAAGTGTTGAGGGTAAGTTGTAATTTTAAATCCCATGGTCGGAGAAGCCTCCGTGGGAAGGTGATGTTTGCACAGGGACTTGAAGCAGGGGGAGGCAGTTACCATGTGGGCATCTGGGAGGAAGTGTTCCAGACAGGGAACCGCACAGGCAAGGTTCCTGAAGCATATTCAAAAAATAGGAAGGAGGCCGTGGCAGTGTGGCTGGGGGAAGAGGAGGGGATCAGGTGGGGGAAGTGGGGCCAGACCCGGAGGGAGGGCTCATCAGCCACTGCCAGGGCTTCGGCTCACACTCTCAGAGAGGTGGGAAGACCCTGGAGGGATGAACCCCACCTTCTCTTACTGCTTGCCTTCTCATAGTTCATCTTAGTTGGAGAACAAACCTCCTACGTGGCCTTTATCTTTTTCTCATCCATCTCCCCGTGGAGACCTGAATAACAGGCCACAGTCTGATTCATCTCAGTACTCCCTGGGTCCAGCAAAGCACTTAATAAACGTTCGTTGAACTGAACTTGAACCAAATGGCAGGTAGCAGCTAGCAGAAGCCTGGAAAACCTGGGCGCCAAGGTCTTGTGAGTTGATATATATGGTATTGGCTCCCTTGGCGCTCTTGGTTACTGCACCAGCAGGCACAAACAGTGAAATCCTTTAGAACCAGGTAATCCCAAGGAACAGGGAATTGCAGAGTGGAGTGAGGGATAGGGAGGGGGTACTCGCTGCTGCCTTGACGTCAGGTGTTTTTGCCACTGGGGCTGCTTGCTGGCTCCTCACACTGCCCCCAGCCCTGCTCCCTAACCAAGGTGTGGTCTTGTTCTGCGCAGGCATGCCTGTGGTCCTGTCGCAAGAGGTGGAGTCTGTTCTTGTGGGCGCTGCTATTCTGGGTGCTTGTGCCTCGGGGGATTTCACTTCTGTGCAGGTATGTGAGCACTGAGGGGTGGGCGGTGGCTCCTCCCTTGTCTGAGGCAGTCCTTCCTCTTGACAGCCGCTCACATCTTGCAAAACACACACAGGATATAATTAAGAAATGATAGGTTCCAGCCAGGGAAAGCACAAACGCTTCTAGCCTCAGACATATTTATTGGAGTTTTCATTTGGCTCGGTCTCTGTTAGTGTTGGTCATTCTGTTTTTCTGTTAGTTTTCTTTTTTCTTCTTTAAAATAGCTCTTAAATTACTTTTAAATTTCCCCTTGACCATTTTTCTTTGAGCAAATGAAACAGGTAAGGATCAAAACTTCAGTTTTTCAAGTAGATTTCACATTTTTATTTGTTTATTTTATCCCTACCACTTTCCAAATACCTTTGAGGTCTCTTTCGACAAGACACAAAAATGAAAATGTTATTAAAAAAGGAATTAAAATGAAAATTAAGGAACAAAGATAATAGGAAGAAGGAAATGATTTTGGTGGTTGTGATTGAGCACATAATTTGTTTCTGAGCTTCCTGGCAGCCAAGACAAAAAAGAACACATGATAAGTTGCATAATTCTTATTTTCAAAAAGAGGAAATGCTAGTTACTGGTGAGAGACAAAGCTTTTCCTGCTACCAAATTACGAAAGACATCGTGGGGCTTGTGGATAGGCTTTGAGTGCTAAAATAATACAAAAAGGTAAAGAGTGAGTGTGGTGCAGAGGCTGGGAGCATAAGCTCTGGGGTTAGGCTGCCTGAGCTCAAATCCTAGTTTGACTGCCTACTAGCTCTTGTGAACTGACCACTCTGCTCTGCGCACCATTTTTTAAATCTTTAATAATAATGAGTAGCACGTTAGGAGTTCTTTGTATGGGTCAGGCATGCCCATTAAGTCTCTGAAATAGCTCAGTTGTCCCCATTTTATCATTAAGGAACCTGAGACATAAAGAAGTTAAATAATTTGTCCTACTTTGAAATAGCTAGTCTAGGCCAGAACCAAGAAATCTGGCTTCCAAGTCTCAACCACAGTTCAGGAGATGTTTGTTCAGCTGAGAATCAGAGAGATGAACTGACTTGCCCAGGGTCTCAAGGTTAGGACTAAAAGCAGGTTTTCCACCACCAGTAGCCCAGTAATTAGAGCTCCATTTATTGTGATCCTCTTATGTGCCACATACTATGCTAAGTGCTTTTTGTACATTTTCCTAATACTTACAACAGCTCTTCATGGGCCACAGAGACTGGGCAACAGAAATGCAGAAAAGCTTACAAAACTTAAAAGTATACTGTTAGAAACAGACACTACAAAAGTCTGATGCTGAAATCTATGTTCTATAAAGAACTGCATTTTGGGAAATGTGGTGCACTCCACACCGTACAAGCCTCTGGAGTTGACTGTGAAATCTCTCTCCCAAGGAATTGAATCGACTCCTGAATACTTGTGGATCAAACAAAAATGATATAGTTGAATTCTCAACTTTTTCTGGATTTTCTGCTCCTCTCTCAAAAACGTCACAGGGAGATACTGATTTATTGTTAAAATGTCGATGTATTTTCAGTTATTATTTTAATGTATCAACTTGCAAAGATGTTTTTATGACTAGATGTCTCTCCCTTCCTGGGACAAATTATACTAGCTAAAACAAAATGGTACGGATGTTTACCAAAGCCTTGCATAGGTTACCTCATGTTATGGACTGAATGTTTATTTCCCCAAAAAATTCATGTGTTGATGCCCTAACCCCCAATGTGATGGTATTTGGAGCTGGGGCTTTGGAGGGTGATTAGAGTTAGACGTGGTCATGATGTTCTGATGGGATTGGTGCCTTTGTATGAAGAGACACCAGAGAGCTTGCTTTCTGTCTGTGTGCCATGCAAGGACACAGCCAGAAGCTGACTGCCTACAAGCTGAAAGAGGACCCTCACCAGAATCCAACCATGTTAGCAAGCCAGTTTCAGACTTTGAGCCTCCAGAACTGTGACAAAATAAATTTCTGTTCTTTAAGTACCCAATCTATGGTATTTTGTTATGGCAGTTCAAGCAGCCTAAGACACTTCATTTAATCCTGACAATCTCTCTGCCTGCAGGATAGATGTTTTTATCCTTGTGTTAATATATGAGGAAACCAAGGCTCAGAGAGATTTTAAGTAATCTGCCCAAGTCCACACAGTTAGTAAGGACAGAAGCAGAACTGAAATGAAGGATTCTCTGGATCTGTATTCTGTCCTGATTCTCATTTTTTCCTAATTTGTTTGATTTTTTTTCTTTTTCCTTTAAAAGTATTTGGCTTCTTAAATGTTCAAAGGTATATTTTCTGAAAAGAAGTACCATCATTCACCAATCAGGAGAGAGTTGCAGCCCAAATAGAGAATATCATGACAAGCTGGGGCTGCTCCATCATTATGGTACCTCATTGATATCTTAGTCAGAACTAGGATTTTCAGCGCCTTGGGAATTCCACTCACATTCTTCCCAATAGGAAACTGAGCTTAACTCCACTCTGACATCTTCGCTACAGGAGATTTGCTATTAATCTTCGGAACAGAATCTAAGATATGGTAGATCACATATTGGAATTGGTGACTTGAGTAGCAGCTGCAAGGCTGACAGCATCTTGGAGACAAGGTCATGTCTCCTTTTCAACCCAAGGAAGCATGTGCCTGTCCTGATTGTTTTCAGGAGACACTGTAATCTAGTAAAGGGAGCCCCTGGCTGAGAGAGGCCTGAGGCCTTATTTGCTGTTAGTTACCTGAAGGAATCCCTGTAGTCTTGAGCTCTTTGCTTGCTTGTATATCCTCAAATAGGGTCATCTGTTCTATCTAGGTGCTTGTTTTGTTTGTATGTTTTGTTTCTTTTAAAAAAATGTTTAAATAAGAATCGTCAGTCATATGGAACTGTTGAGATGAAGAACTTTTGAAAGCTCCAGTGACCTCCCAGGTATAATCAACATCATTAGAATGATTATGTTTGGAACTGCTTTGGAAATGTAAATGCATGTATACTTGGTTTCATTCACCCCTTCAAAGTAGAGGAGCCAACCTGTGTGCCCCAGACCTGGGGGCCAACTCAAGATTCTGGCAAGATGAGACCAAACAGAATTATTTCTACCCCATGATTCATATTTTTAACCTAAACTTCAACACAGTCTTTTCTTTGAACTTCACAGTTCCTAGCTTGGTCTGCAGGGTACCTGCCATTCCTTCTGCTAAGAAAGCTGAGCAGTCCCTGCCAGCAGCACAATTATTCCAGCAGGCCAGATGTTTTGTCTTCTCATAGACCACTTATCTGGTGGTTGGATGGAAGATTTCACTTCTTATCTAGATGGGCTGACTTTGGTAGACCCAGCCAGAGTCACCTCTTTCAGATGAAAGAAAGGTTAGGAAGAGTCCAGAGGACCCAGACTTTAGACTTAGGGAAGACGGCGTTTGCCAATTTTGTAGGCTCATGAATGGATGATTTCAGACAGAGGTAAAGCCCTATACCTTCCTTTGGTGATACCAGTGGATCAGAATGGATTCACAGCTGTGGGTTTTATTTATATTGCAAATTTCCATATATTTCAATACTGGGGAAGTTTTATGAGGTGGAGAGAGAAAGACTGGATGGAATTTTCTGGTGGAGTGATGATAATGGGAGAGATTGGTTGAGTACAAGGTCCATTGCTATCGCAAATTTTGAAATATGCTGACAATTCCCAGCTTCCATATCCTGCTCTTTTATTCATTCATATTCTCATTCTTTTAGTCTCTCTCTCCCTCTCTCCCCTTCCCCTTTCTTACCCTCCCTTCCTTTAGACATCCAAAGTCTTCTTTCTAGTCCCTTTTAGGATCTCACAAAGGGCACTGATATAGCCATCTTTCCACACTAAAGAATAGAATGACTAATAATGTCTTAAAGAGTTGTTCCTTTCCAGAAAAGGTGTTTTCTTTTCAATAGTTTTCAAAACTGTGTCTTCACTAGCGATTATAATCTCCTGAGGATAAGTATCCCTGAGCACAAGTGGTGGTCATCTTTATTTCTGTAGCTTAATCAATAACATGGAATCAAACCACAGATATGCTGCTCTCATGGTAAAAGTTCGGCTGTTGAGTATGGGGGAGTGCACACAAGGAAGGGGGTCCACCTCTCTTCTTTTACTCAGAGGAGTGTGGAATCCATATCATCTTGACCTCTGTGACCTTTCCACCTGATCACTCCCCCATCCCCAGCATCAGTGTGCTACAAAATGATCCTCTCTAATTCTGAATATCCTGGAAAGCAAATAATTACAGTTAGAAATTGGCAGCATCCCATAACTCTTCTGTAGACTCCAGGTCCTGGAAAATCAACAAACTGGAAGAAATAAGTTTATGAAATATCAACAGGCTTACATTTTCTAAGCACACAGTGTAGAGAGATTTTAAGAAATGCAAGGAGAGATAAAACAGGTAGCTATTTTCAAGTTGTTGTGAGAGAAAACCAATCAAATGGCCAAGAGGCAGACATATAAAATGGCTTTTTACTTTCTGCTTCGTTCAGGCCCCCTGTAGATGTCATTAGTTTTCTGTAATTTCTTATCTGAAAGGGCAGGTTTTTCCCAAAACTATTTATACAAAACAAGCTTTAATTCCAACAGTGCTATTTATCTTGAACCGTCACCCCTATCCTCTTCAAAAAAAAGCAGAGGAAGAAACATCTGAAGCAAAAATCCGCTAAAGGAGGCAGTGACAAGAGTTCAAAATGAATTCAGCAGTCATCCTAGGGGAGTACCAGTGTGCAGAAAATAAGCCATTGCATTCAACCAATTAATCAAAACCCTTTCTTCCTCCCACTGTGAGCATTGCCACCCTGCAAACCACTGACTCCATGCACTCCCACCATCAGCTTTCCCTGTCACGTTCCAGACAGACTCCTGTATCTTCCAGACCAGTGTGTGTAAGTGGCCAGTGGAAAGCCGTGATTACTCACCCTTTCTGTAATGTGTGCCCACAAGATAAACTACCCATGCCGACCGCAGTGGTCAGTCCTTGCAA